GGCTTCGGCAGGGGGGGTTGGACTAGGTGATCCCCAGAGATCCCTTCCAACCCCGACTATTCTGTGATTCTGTGATTCCTGACTCCTTTCAGAAAAAAAGCTGCAGCTGTAACACGCCACAGGAAGCAAGCAGGGAGATTAAGGGACCACCAGGTCCGCAGCCTGGTGATGGCAGGGAATTTGTGAATAAAATTACATAGGATCTAGGAGATAGATGTGAACTTGGAGAAACGCAAAAAAAACTCAAACTAAACAAAAAAAACCCCAAACCACACAAAAAATGCAACCTTCATTTTTCTGTCAATCCAGGAAAATTCCCTCCTGACCCTAATCTGGCAATAGCGTTAAGCCTAATGTGTGAGCAGACCTCTGGACTGTAATGCTGGGAGCACCAATGCATGAGATCCAGAGCTTGTCTTTCGTGCTCCGGAAGAAGGGAAACTTCAGCACCTTTAGAAGCAAATTAGGGGGGAATTTGTTTATTCTTCATCCTCACAGTGACCAGCAGAAACCAGGAAGCCTGGGGTTGAACTAGCACCTCCTCCAAAAGACCTTAGCTCTGCTGACTCTTTGGCCAGCCAGGAGCTGTGTCCCAGGCTGAATGGCCCGTCTCCAAGGCTCCTTCATTTAGAAATTTATGGAAGGAGTTTCATAAAACTGTAAGTTAAAATGATCTGGGTTTCTCTGCCCCATTACCCTTCTTGGAAGGCTGGTTCAGAACTTCAGGCAGGGCTAGAAACTCTCCAGTTCACCATGTAAACTTCTTCACCGTTTTGTGCCATTATTGTGTGTCTTAAAGATTTTCTTAACATTTTCTTATTTTCAATTTTCTTCCAGTGGTTGTTCAGAAATACATATGTCCCCTCTCAGCCTCTGTCTGGCCGGAACAAGCCAAACTCTTCTAGATCTTCGTCAGCTGGTGCTTGTTTGTCTCAGTATCCAACTAGTTTTTCTCTGTGCAGTGGAAATTTATCCTTCCTGGATGCAGAGCTACAAGGATATGCTGGAAAAAGTCTCACACTGCCTTGTGCAATGGCAATAATGTTTCTGTCTGCTAAAAATAACTTGTCTGATGCATCCTAGCATTGTGCCATTCCCTTCTCACAGAAGCATCACGCTGCTGCTTCACATTCATCCTGTGCAGTAAGGTCTTTTTATTCCCTCTGTGCCTCCATTTCATCAGTTTATAGAAAATGTCCTTACTGCTGGTCCCCAAGTGTTTAAGTTTGCCCTTTCTGCTGTTCTACTTCACCCTACTTCCCCCATACCTTGACAAGGTCAAGGTCCCCTACTTCTTTCTCTGTGAGGAACTACTTCTCTCAGCGCTTGCAATCCCTCCCTCCGCATTTCAGGAGCTCGCACTTGGCTCTTCTGAAATTACCCATGATTTACTAACCTGAATTTCTTCCCAAGATGTGTGGTTAATATCCTTCCTGCAGCCTGGTCATGCTCATTTCTGATGCAGCTTGGGCAGTCTCTCCTGTATCTCCTTACCAACCATCTTCACCTTCAGCACCGGTTTCTCCTGGTTCATAGTGTGTCATCTTTACCTCTGTATTCAGTGCCTTAATCTAAGAAACTGGCAGCCTCTTCCAAGTCTAATTTCCCCTGCCCTCTTCCAGCTTCATTAAGTATCTCACCACTCCCTGTAAGTACCTCATCGCACCCTGTGTTCCCCTAATCACATTTACCGAAACAGAGTAAACCCCACTTTTGGGTTTTGGCTGCAGCTGGCTCGTGTGCCCTCTTCCCCCAGCCCTCTCCTCGGAGGAGGGAGTCTGCTCCTCGCTGCAGCTCTGCTGCCTGCCTGATAGAGCAAGCTCACCATTCACTAAAACCATGTCTGGAATAATGTTATGTTTTACGTTACAATGAATCGATAAGGAAATGTGCTTTCTGTCTTGTAAGAGGATACCTGAGCCCTGCTATTCCGGTGCTGTTTATCGCCTGGCATTCACTGGGAAACTGAAGGCCTCTATAATTGCACAATTTCTGCTCTTTATTCTTCTTGTAGCCTTAGAGACAGCACAGTTTATACTCAAGGCTGCATCTGGTGCATCTGTGGCCAACCCCTGAGAATACCTCTGCCGGGCCCTTTTTACCATCCTTTCTCACACCTCCGCAGGACCTATCTTATCCATGTCATCCCCTTTTATGTCCTTACAATGACGTGTTTTACTAGCTGTTCTTCACAGCTTCCTGCTTGCCTTCTGCTGACAGGGTGCTCCCAGCCAGCTTCCATGCATGCTTATCTCTGCGGCTTCGACCCCAGCAGCACGCTCTGCCTCCACCGAGCGTCCCAGCGCGTGTTGGGGTGCACCTTCCTCTGGCTCACCGTACTGCCAGTTTGCTGAGATCCTGGCTTGCCTGATGTGACCACAGCAAACAGCACAACCTGGGGAGAAGCCTACAAAACCAGTGGCCACAGGCTGTTGCAAAATCTTAGGAGGAGCAGAACTTGTAGCTGGAATGGATGAGGGAGATAAAGGCCGTGGTGTTTCTAGTTTAACCTCAGAAGATTCTGGTTAGGTGACAACTGAGCCTTAGGAGATAACGCTGCTAGGACAAATGGATTTAACACCTCCTGGCTTAATTCAAGGGAGACCCTCAAGTCCATGTGAAAACACTAAGCAAGGTAAATTGAGTGTGGCTAAGAAGGCTTAGTCAACAGGTGAGTTACAAGGTTGTGAAATTGTGCATGATATCAATATTGTGTACAAGCTCTGTTCCCCAGTCAACTGGCGAGTATTGGAAACTGCATCTTTAAATAGCTTATATTTAGAGGCAGGGAGTATGTAGAGAAGCAGCAGAAAATACACTTTCTGTGTTACCTAGAGACAGTTGGAACTTGTCCCTAAATAAAAAAGCTCTTCTCCAAGTACCTGGGGACAAAGGGATTCCCAAATACCACTTGTTCCCTAAAGCAATGCTGCACAGGCTTAGAAAACGCCAGTTTAACAGCTCTAGCCATGCAGCCCAAGAGTGGCTACGGCTGATGGCGCAACGCAACTGGCCTGATACGGCTAACAAGCAAGAGGTCTATAGTCGGTCAAAGGTCTAGTGAAGTGCACGTGGGACATTTACGGTGTTGTGGGATGAAGACGTGCAGACTGGGCAATGTCTGTGCGTCAGAACTTCTAAGACCTGGGGTTACACTTAGCATGCTGGCAAAGTACTTGGTTAAAAAAATGCATATTATGTGTATAACAAAAGGTCATAACATTTGAGGAAACACGTGGTACAACGCATGAGGAACTAGTTCAGACTATGCTTGGGCTTTTCTAGGCTTTGAAGCCTGGCCACTGGACACTTAGACCCCGCTCTGGTCCATTTTCATCAGCGCACAAAAGTGAGTGCTACCCACAGTCTCGTGGGAGTGAAGAGACCTGCAGGATGTATCTGGTGGTGAACTGTAGCTGCCACTGGAGGAAAATGAGTAAGTCGGAGTCCTCTGGATGCTGGTGGAGGCAGACTCCAGAGCAGGCAATGCTATTAATGGCCTGGATAAAAGGAACAGGTCAGAGCAGGACAGGATCTCTGGAGTGATGATAGCAACCAGGGAGAGAGGTGACAGCAGCCAATACCACTTACTGCTATGGACAGCTGTTCTCCTAATCCCCATCTCTGTCAACATCTCTAAACATCTCCATGCGAGAGCGAGCTTGGTGGAGCAGTGGCCCCTCCCAGAGCCACAAACTGGGCTCAGTTTTGTCTTGCTCCCTCTCTCTTGTGGTGCTTTGACTAGTAACTAAGTCCTCAGACCTCTGTGCTTCCCGCTTGACTATTCACTTCAGAGTCATCTATTAACGAAATATCTGTAAGGTAAGAGGGACTGAAATCCGGTCTGAAACCACCAGTCACCCCCTCATTATTTCAGCAGTGTTTCCTTCAGCCTGCTGGAAGGCACAAAATGGAGCAAGGCAATTACAAGGCTGGACCCGAACTTCACTTGAAATTATACATATACCCATTCCTGTTAAAACACAGCTGCCTGGGAGGCGGTGCAGGATGCACAATACCTAGCAAAAAACACTTGGATGTGCACAACTGTGTGTGGTGACAGTGGGCTCTAGTCAAGGTCGTTGTTCTTGAGTGTTCTTCCCTTAAACTCACTGTTGGGCCCCTGATTCCCTGTAGGCTTCCTCCTACTGTATAACACATGTTTTTGTTAGTAATCCCCATGGTTTCAGCAAGCTGCCGTTCAAAAACTATTTCGGCTGGCCTAAATTTGTTGGTTTTGTTTTGTTTTGTGTTTTTTTATTATTGTTTTTATTTTTATTTAACTTGGCAGTATCTGGGATTTTCTATATTTCTTGTTTGGCCATAACCTATACTTTTTGAAGGATGTCTTTTTACTTCTAAATGTCTTCTCTGCTCAGCTGTTTAACTGTGCCAGACTTGGAGATTATTTTTTTATTGTTAGCATATTCTGAGTGATGGCATATTTAAAGCTTTAAATACAGGGTCTCAATGTCATTGCAAGCGTTTTATCCTTTCATTAGCCACTTTCAAATTCTTCTTAATTACTCTCCTGACTTTTAAACTTATTCCCTTCTGAAGAAAAATATACTCATCTGCCTTTTAAGTTACTTTGCATTGCAGTGTACTATTTTGTTAATTTTTCCTCTCCTGCAGCACTATTGAATTTGAGCACATTGTGTTCATTACGACAAAGCGACTGTTCACTATTACGTTTCGAACTCCCTTCTATGTACTGCTCGTGACTAAATCAAGAGCTCATCCTCCACTTGACTCCTCTGAGTGGTCATTCTAAGAACTAATCATTTAACAGGGCTAAAAATACAGTCTCTGCATCACTCTTTGACATGGTATCTACCTGGTCTATATGAGGGTAATTAATATCTCCCATTATCACTACATTTTCTCTCCAGACAACCTCTTAAAGTCCTTCAGCTGTTTTTCATTCCACTATCCTAATCAGGTGCTTAATAGTATATGCTCTGCACTGCTTAGACACATGTCAATATGTAACGGATCTCTGGTAGTTTAAACAAAATCCCAGGATATTTTTTTTTCTTTTCCTCAATTTTTTTCTTTTTGTCCCCATTTTTATTCATTTTCTTTTTTTTTTTTTTTTTATTTTTTCCCTCTCATTTTTTTTTTTTCCTCATTTTTTTCTTTTTTTCCCCATTTTTTTTTATTTTTTTTTTTTTTTTTTTTTTAATTTTTCCCTCTCATGTTTTCTCTTTATCTTTCTGGAAATACTGGACAAATACTGTGCTAGTAGCCCAAATCATTTTCTGTGCATTCACATCTTGAGATGCTGCTCTGGCAATCATATTCCTACTGAAATGAGATAAATTCTTACATTAGCTTGTGTTTTTGGTTGTTGTTGTTGCTTTTTTAAAAAATAAAATTCACATGTTCAGTGTCTATCTCTGGGCTTTGCTCCATGAAAATGTCTTTCTTCACCAGCTCCTTTTTCAGCTTGCTGATTGTACATTTGTAACTGAAAAGAAAACTTCTGTCACCTTGGAGAAGGGCACAGATATTTTCTAGCTGCATGTGTTCCCCCATCTTCTGGAACGGGAAGAAGCATTTTATGTTCCTTGCTGGTTAAGGTGAGCTTACTCTGTATAAAGACATTCAGCTTTTTACACCCATACTGGAGTTCTTGCCAGGGTGATGGGTATGGTAATCATTCCCTAATTTCTTCAATCTCAATTCAGAAACTGGCCCTACATTTGTCACTTTTCACTTCTCGATTACCAAGGCCAGTTTAAGCAGAAGGTTGTATACTGCATCAAATAATTCAGTGATTTCATATCTGAAAGGCTTTAAAGTTCTTGGGCAAATGCTATCACAATTAGTCATTTGTCACTGAGCCTCCAGCACCTCCCTCATGCCTTTGCAGTGACCACAAACACATTTAACATTGAGAATAGTTTTGAACGTGGCTGTGAGTGCAAGTCACCAATGTCTGAAGCCATTCTTGAGCGCTGCCTGTATCTTTGTACTGTATCAGGCTTGGGGCTCTTTCATGAGCAACTTTAAGTTCTCGAATCTTAGCATCCTTCTTTTTGGGGACACCACACCTGTCAGGTTGCAGGTGTGGAAAGTTTGTGAGGTGCAACGGTCTGCTCCCTTTGCCTCTCTCCTAGGATGCACCAAGCCTTCCTCTGAGCTACTTGTATGCTTGGTTGAGTTAATGTTTTGTTGTTTCCTGGTTCTGTAGCATTTATGGTTTTGGCCGAGCTCCTTAATGAACTGATGCCCACAAGACTGTGCCATCACCCTGCTAAGAGCTTCGGAACTATACAACTATTGCCACCATTCTTGCAAATTCCACTGAATCAGACCAAAGTTGTTTAAGTTCCTGCAAACTTCCTGACATTTGGCAGTGGCACAGAAGAAAAACAGATGACCCTCTCCCCTTGAGTGGGGCAAAAGCAGAACCCAGGAGGTATCTGTTCCTTTAGCAGCAAAATGTCTCATCTGACACACACGTGCATGACCAACTGTGCTGTCTTGTGTGAAAATCAGTGTTGTGCAGAGGAGGTACACTTAGTACGTGCAAGGGACAGTGGCACTGAAACAAAGCACATGGAACTGAACTGAATCGGCTTTTCTTTGGGTCATGGTACGTGCCAGATGCAGCCCCAGCCTAAGGAAAAGATATCCTGCGATCTCCTGCTTTGCTTTGCTTTGCTTTACTAAGAGCAGTTGTAAAACCCTGCGGACATACCCAGGAAAAATAATCAATGTTGTATTAATCAGCAACACTCTTCTTGAGGGTTTTGTCTGTATTTGTTTGGATTTGGAGGGCGATCGTGTGTAAATGAAGGGCTTTATTTATCATCTTCCTGCAGTATCCTCGTTCTTGAGTTTCTGTTTGTTTTTAAACCCATCCTGAGACTCTTGAAGGTATAGCATTATCTACATTTAGCCTCTGCTTAAAGACAAAAGAACTATCCAGAGTCATATTTGCTGCAGACAGGTTGGCTCTTCCAGCTCTATCCTGGTTTCAGGTGAATGTTTCCTTATCCCCTCTAAACAGTT